TGGCATATCTTTGATACACCACTTGACAAAATGCCCGATATTAAACATAACCAACAGTTTCTAGTTGATATTGTCATATCCATTGGTCGGGCCGCTGGACTGCTCCTCCAGTAATGCCACCATATGTACTGGTTAAAAAAATGAACAATATTCCCATCCATTATACTCGATTTTCTGTATTTTCTCGTGTGTTTTTTGTCCAAAATTTGGATGAAAGATAGATTTTTTTGGGGCGAAACAATCTAGATAGAAATTTGAAATGTCGTTTTCTCATTGGTACTTGTTCATAATTGTATGAAATTTCAAGAGTGCCTTACTATGATATTTATTGTTTTTCTGTAAAATTTTCACATCTTTCTGGATACTTTAACTTTTTAACCAAAATAAACAAATCTGGACAGAAATTTGGAATCTGGTTTTCTCTTTGGCCCCTTTTCCAGAATCAGAAATCCGAACTTTTTGTGCAGCTTAGTTTTTGGACAATTTTTTTGGGGGGGGAGGGCATTCTAGATTGCATCCGGTACTATCATTTTGTTTTTTGTTAAGGGTCTTTTCTGGTCTTATTCACCCTCTGATTTCTGTTATTTGGAAAGATAGATGTTTTTTAATGAATATAAGCTGGGCATTTTGGCCCAGACATAGCAAAGGTGGGGTAAATGATAAATTGACCCATAACCTCAAAGAAAAATGATAAATTGACCCTTGTCGTAGTGGTCTCCACAATTCAGATCGGGTCAACCCACCGGGTTTTTTTAGAAGAAGCCGCTCTTTGTTTGTTGGAAAAAAAGAGAGAACATAATGGGCCACATATGAACGTGATGGGCCGCCAGCCCAGGCGAGCGCTAGCAATCGAATGCTCCCGAGTCCCGAACGGTTTTCCAACTCGGCCGGGCGAGTCGGGCTGAAGCAGTTGAGGATTTGAGGAAGCCAGACTCGGCGGAGAGATCCAGGGAGATGGGGCTCAAGGGGAACAAGCGTTTCGGCGGCGGCGGCGGCCAGCCGCCGGCCAAGCGCCAGGCGGCCGGGAAGGACGGCCCCTCCGAGGAAACCGACGACGGCATCGTCGTTGCGCAGGTTCTGGCTCCGTACTCCCGACCAACCCAGCGCTCCCTCTCAAAAGGCAGATCCCTAAAACCCTAGACCCGTGGATTTTTTTTCATTCTCGCTCTTCAGATATCGAAGAACAAGAGGGTGGCAGTGAGGAGCTGGAACGGTAAGGTCATGGTCGACATGCGCGAGTTCTACGAAAAGGACGGCAAGAGCCTCCCGACCCGCAAAGGTATCCTGCCATTTCTTTCTTGTTCGGAAACACCCACGGGTGCCAAATGTCCAAAGTGCGTGCTGTGTGGCCTCGGTTCATCAGTTGGATGGGATTGCATTTCCTTTCCCTGGCTGCCTGCCACTCGTGCGGGCAGTAGCGGCATCATGCATATTGTATAATTGTTGGCAGTAGTAGAGGCTAGTACGTTTGAAGCCTGAATGCTCTCTGACACTCCAGGCTGCATGTTTGAAACCTGAATGTTTGCCTGTGCGCCTGCATATCCATAATCCATGTGGATCTGAAATGTGTGTATTGTCTGAATGTCAGCACCTTGCGTTTCTTTCGCCTACGTGGAAGGTACACATATGTTGAATCTTGGGGACACCTGATGCATCTAATGGTCAAGTACATAACATGTGGCCCGTAATTGCCTTTTTATTGTTTGTACTTGGTAATGGTACTCTGTTAAGTGTAAAGCACTCTATTAAGTCAATGATTTATGAATGAGCCGTAGGAAGTGCAACAACAAATTCTTCCCTTTAACAATTAGTTGGATTACACCAATGAAATGTGTTCAGCCTTGATACAACTTCCTCACCCACTATCATTATAATGGACGGGTGTCCATATCTTGAAACAGGCATACAGAAATGAGCATCATTGTGTAACCTTAGCACACTATGTTGTAAGCTCAAGCAGGTGATGAACATGACATTCTGCAAAATACTTATCATAGCTGTAGGTAGGGACTATCCCCATTTAATCCGCGTCTGACGTGTTGACGTTAATCCTTGACTACCATGTCTATGCACTTCTTGGATCAGTTGAAAATGCAATATTTGGTCAAATGATGAAGCAGGGGCTCATACTTCCGGTTACAAATATTTCATTATCCTAGTTGATAGATATAAATGAGTTAAGTTCTTAGATTTTGTGAGAGTATAATAAACGTCTGAATGTGTACCTATGCAGCTGACTTCATTTTTAAACCCAGAATACCGTTCTATGTTCTACTCATTCAGTGTCATTAAATACCAGTTGGAAGAAATGATATGTTGAGTGTGGGTGCATTCTATTGGAATTTGGACGTACACATGGTGGCATTTTTTTGCTTATTTCCCTCCAGCTCAAGTACTATCTGTAATGTTTTCAGTTTAAAAGAATGTACTATCTGTAATAATTGTTCAAGATGATGCTATAGCTTTTCAGCTTATTATTTTGTTTCCCTTTTTTCAGGTATATCGCTCTCAATGGATCAGGTAAGATGCATTTCTACATCTCTTTGTATCTTATGCGCATAAAGCAAATCTGTTGCCCTGAAAAGATAGATCATGATCTGTCTGAAACGTGGATGATGCATTAGAATATCTAGTAGCCGGCGTGAAAATTTCTTGGCAAGCTTTGACATCCTTTTTTGAGCATGAAGATACTCCCACCTTAAAGCCGAATAATTCTAGTTTCAGTACCCATCTCTCATGCTGTCTGTTACAGGAACATGATCACAAGTACCTTAATATGTTAAATTTTCGTGCACTTAACGTCAAGTTCAGGCTTATTGCCACATACATGTCATGATTGTCTTTGCTGGCTGTGATTGACTTGCTGTATAGGTGGTACTCTGGTAGCAACCAACTATTGTGATCTTTACTTGGTTTTGCAGCAACAAACCATCACTTCCTTCCTGTAGCAGCTCACTAGTTTTTTTACATGTGCAGTGGAAGATACTGAGGGACAACATCGAAGCTATAGACGAGGCCATCAAGGAGAGCACTTGATCGGAAAAGCAGCTAAGGAGACATTGCTGGGCAAAGTTTCGCTCATTTGCTGCTTAAGTATGCACTTATGGTGGACTGTAACTATTGCTGTCGTGAAGGTGACCTAATGCTAATGGTAGAACGGTTTTAGGGGATACGCCCGGACACTGACCGGGCGTGTCGACTGGCGTTTGAGGGGTTAGATTTGTGCATCGTGGTTGTAGATGTAGTAAGGTATCATTCAGTTAGCCCCTACCTGGTAGGGATCGGGTCCAAATCCCAGTTGAATCTTATGGTTTCGCCCTGGCTGTGGTTCGATTCTGGTCCACCTTCTGCATCAGTTAAACACGGTCGGAATATATCCCTGGCATAAACCATTCGAAATCCTTGCGTTACACCGTGTTAAAATCATCTTGTCCCACCCTGTGGTTAGCACATGAAATACCCCTTGAGACATGCACTAACAAGCCTATTGAGTAAAGGGAGCCCAGGCATCTCTTTACAACAGGGATAAATCAATAAAAGATATAGGGGCTGTTTGGTTCTAGGCCTAGCATTGCCACACTTTGCCACATATTTTTGTCAAGCTTGTCTAAGCTTAGTTTGGCAAGCCTAAGGGGATCTTGCCACATTTTTTTTTGTATGCCATGTGGAACCCAAGTATGGCTTGCCAAAGGTGTGGCCGGAACCAAACACTTGCCTAAGTTGGTCAAACTTGCCTAACCTTAGGTATGGCAATCTTTGGCAAAGTTAGTCACAAACCAAACAACCCCATAATCTTAGTCTCATCTAGTCCAGTCTCTTCGGGGAGCTAATTCCAAGGTACCGATTCCAAACTTCGTCATGCTTGCGAAACATCCTTCTGTTATCAATTTTGGTTTTACTACTACCTCTGTCTCCGTGAACAAGTCATTTGCATAGTTTTAGGTCGGTAATTTAACTATCTAAATATGTATTATATGTGATAAAAAATATATATTTAGAAACTACATTCGTGTAGAAATCTAGTGATATACTTTTCATGACATACAACACATATTTAATTCCTCAAATTGATGACCTAGAACTACGCGAATGACTTATTCACCTAGACGGAGGTAGTACTTTTTTTTGAGGAATTTTGGTTTTACTACTCCAAAATGCCTGCCCTTCGGCTTTGTACCTCTTTCTCCTTTTCCCCCTCATTTCTCTTCTCGTTCAATCAATCCAAGTCAAAAGTGGAAGTTTGAGAAGGCGGTTAATTTATTGTGGTTGAGCAGTGACAAGTGCACTGGATGTGTACTTCGAGCGAAGGGGAAGCTACCGTGAAACCTAGAGCAGAGGTTCTAACAATCATTGGTATCTTTCATCCATCCGGAGTTGCCACTCTTATTTTTTTTTCGAAAAGAAGGATCACCCCGGCCTCTGCATCTGAGAGATGCATACGTCCATTTTATTGAATATTATCGAGAACCTTACAAAGTATAACAACAATATGCATGAATCTGTCATCTTGGCAGAATCTACCGCTACTCCTATCCAAATGATGAAGGGGTGCAAGCTGGGCCACATATCCATACCTCTCACCTAAGCCTAACATCTAAAGCCGGAGGCCCCGACCGAGCCATCTGCCGGGTCTGGGGCTCAAACCGGTCTGATGCACTCACATGTGTCGTCGTCGTCATCTTTCACTGGTCCATCTTCATAGCAGACTAAGGTGACAACCTTGCTAGGTCCTCCGCCATCGACACCACCACGACGCCAAACGACGACCTCCACCTATGCGAGCCTTGGCAGGTCCTCCGCCATTGACGCCACCATGACGCTAGCCGACGACCTCCACCTACACGAGTCCATCTCCAAGCAACGGACATAAATCCATGCTAGGAAAGGGCCGCACCACCGCCTTCGCCCACCACCCACAAACGCCACCCAACCCCAAGGTTCCCAAAGCGGCGCCTTCAAGAAGGGAACGACGCCGTGAACGCCACCGCCGCCCAACAAAGTTAGGGCTTTTGCTTGGGAGACCTAGGGGCAGGTGAAGTGAGGAGATCAGTCCATACCGACGCCTCCAAGGAGGGAAACGGCGCCCTCAGGCGTCGCCATCGACGCGGCCGGTCATGGTCGGCCAGGGATTTCGCCCGAACTAGATCTCTGCCACCAGCAGCACCTCCTGTACAGAACCGGCGACCGAGAGGAAGCGCGGCCCGACCAGGCTGGTCCGCACGCCGAACAGGGGAGAAAGGGAGGCGCCAGATCGCGCACACCGACCGCCGCAGAAGCTGCTGCCGGCCGCCAACGATCACCGGACCCCGCCGCCTGCGCGACTGGGACACCGGATCCACCACCCGCACAGCTGTTAGTCGGCCGTGCCTTGCCAATGGAGCTGCTGCTCCAGATCTGGGGTTCCCCACACAGGAGCAGGGTAACCGAGTCCCTGCCGCCACCATCCTTGGTGCCTCAGGCGGCGGCAAGGGAGGAAGGAGGGGAGGGGGTGAGGAGGAGGGGCAGCTAGGGTTGGGAGGAGGAGTTGCCACTCTCATAATTAGGAAGTGGTAAGGCCAACTCCACCGCGCGACCCCAAACGGACGTCCGTTTTGTCCGGATTCTGTCCGTTTGGGTAGGGGGATGGGGTCGTGTCCGGGCAGTTTTCGGGATGCGCTGGCCGTGCACCCAGCGCGCGGACGCATCCCGGCCGCATCTTGTCCGCGTGCACTTTTCTTTGCAAGTCCTTAAACTTTTTTCATCATTCATTTCTGATACATGACAATACATCATCATATTTTGACTAGTAAAGCAAGGCCAAAGAAAATAAGAACCACAAGAATACATTTGAGAAGATACCCAACTTTCATAACTGCTCCCTTGAGTTGGGTTAGGGCCTTCTCGATGCACTCATTGTTGATCTGTGGAGGAGGCTCGGCGTTGCATCCTCCTTTCTTCTTCAAGCCAGAAGTCGACATTGCTTCCTCACACGTAGTATCGTGCCTAGCCTCTAATCTAGCAACAAGTGCACTTGTTTCATCTACAGCCTCTAAGCTAGCTAAAAGTGCATGAACATGTACTAGATTTCGCTCTATCAATATATCGATGTACTCTTCTTCCCAATACCAAAACTTGCATCCATTCTACACAATAAAATTTAAAGTTAGCACAACTAATCTAATCCGAAAGCACAAACTGAAGTTAAAAAACACGTACCCCATCGTTTAAGCACTTGATGAACACCCATCCGGGATGCTCCGGCGTTGTAGACACGCGGCGCACGACCATCCTTGGGCAGTGGTCGCACTTGATGAGGGGCAATGGTGCGCCCACGAGCTTTTGGGCAAGCACCGAGCCCGGCCGGCCGCCATTCGCGTATCTGCCGACGGGCCACCGACGGTGAAGATCCGAGCGGCTAGAGGACGAGCCACTGCCTGCATGTGGCCTTACGGCCCTGCCAGGGCCTTCCAGCGAGGTGCCCGGCCAGTCCATGGCGCGGCCCGGCCTCCCATAGCCTGGTGAGCTCAAGACCGACCGGATCCGCCCCGAATCCGACCGGCGGGTGCGCAAACCAGGTTGTCGTGGTTGGGTAGCTCGGCGACGACGAGGGGAAGGGGCTGGGCGAGCGCGCGTTCGTGTTGCACGACCGGAATGGCAGCAGCGGCGACGGCGGGCGGTGAGGAGAAGAGTGGGGAAGAGTGGAGAAGAGTGGAGTGGGATGCGGCCAGAGGGAGGGAGGGGGGCAGATAGAAAAAGGCCCGTCCTGTGCCACCGACGGGCGGACCAAGGGAGGGCCAGGGGAGGACACGCGCAGACGGCCGGCGCGTCCGCGTGGTGTCCGTTTCACCCCAAAAGCGGCGCAAACTTGGGTCACGGATGGGTCGAAAGCGGACACAAAACGGACAAAAGTCCATTTGCTCCCGCGCGCTGGGCTGCCCGGTTTGTCGTTTTACCCCAAACGGACGGGCCCGGACAGGATAGGGTCGCGCGGTGGAGTTTTTTTTGAAATTAAACATCCGTTTATTTATTAGTAATAATGGTTACATCGTCTATAAGAAAATTTACAATATCACTCATAGGCTCCTCAAACCAATCCCTTGTCTCAGAAAATTTAGCTACTCTAGCAATTTCATGAGCTACTTTATTTGCCTCCCTATTACAATGTTCAAATCTAACTAACGGAAAATCACAAGCCATAAAATGATAATCATCAAACATAGCCGTCGCCGCTCCCGCTGTATGTCCTCCATTCTTCATTGTGTCAATTACTTCCAAATTGTCGGAGTTAACAACAAGTCGGTTGCTTCCCGCCTTTTGTGCAAGTAATATGCCAAAACGTAGTGCCATGGTTTCCGCTATTAAAACATCTGCGCACCAATCCATCTTCCAATTCCCTCCCACAATAAATCTTCCTTTATCATCTCTAAGTACAGCTCCCGCTGTTCCTCTAAGCATGTCTTGATCGAATGAAGCATCGACATTTAATTTCACAAAACCTAGAGGGGGTCTCGTCCATCCCTCTGTTCTCTTCGTTGCCCCGAAGGATTGGGCAATAACATAGTTTGTCGTTATAGCACGTGCTCCCATCGAAATTTGGTATGCATCTTGGGTCTTTCCCTGATGGACTAGCGAACGTCTTTTCCACCATAAATACCAGGTTTTTATAGCGATCAGTTCGCGAACATTTTGTATGCCCACTGTAGATAGCTCGTGTTCTGGCATAACAAGTAAAAATTCGAGTACTGCCTCTCCCGCACGATCAACCGCACAAGCTTTTTTAATGGCTTCGTGCAATCCCAGCTTCTCCCACACCTCTTTTGCCTTTTGACACATAAATAACAAGTGTTTAGTATCTTCAGGCCCGTTCGAACATGATGGGCAGGTGGACGAAACTTTCATATGTCTATTAGCAAGTGTAACACGACACGGGAGGGTTCCGTGTAAGGTACGCCAAATAAAAATCTTCACTTTTGCTGGACAAGATAATTTCCAAATGTTTCTCCAAATAGTATTGACATTTATTCCTCCCATGCCATTAGAATGTTGCAATTTCCTCCCATGTTGCTTTTTTCATTCCTCCAGATAAGCTGAACGAACCGTGAACATTCCATTCTTTGTAAAACTCCAAGCTATGAAATCTGACATGTTGTACGTGGGGAGGGGGATCGCAAGCACCCTCTCGACATCAATTGGCCACAATGTTTGTCTTACCAAATCTTCATCCCAACAATTGTTGTTTGGATCTATAAGATCAGCAATTGTTGCGCGGTGGAGTTGGCCTAAAGCGAAGTAGTCTTTTTGGGGGGGTAATCATGTATTGGAGGCTTATTTTCCAATAAGTCAATAGCCATCCTTCGCTATTTGGGGCTAGCTCACTCTATGAGATAAGTTTCATGTATGCTTCGAAGCAGTTAACTCCCTTTTAGGAGAGATCATTTTTTTAGACCATGACCTGTCTAGAATCTCTCTCATTGAGCATCTCTCTTGCGCCTGCTTTCTTCTTGATTTATTGCAGCAGCTAGAAAACCTTTTCCAATGTCGATTATAGGTGAGTAATGTTTTAAGAGATTATAAGCGAGTGATGTTTCAAGAAATTCCATCCATTTCATCGCCAAGAATAAATACCCAATCCTGCAAATCTCTACGACAATCTCTGATTTAGTTTAGTTGATCATTTTCTATTATGAAAAGCAAGGAAACACTAGTAATGGTGGAAACAGAACTTAGAAATCTAAGGCTGAAGGCTAGTTTCATTATTTTTACTCACCTATTTCTTACTTCCCTAAAAAAAACTACTCCCTCCGTTCCTAAATGTAAGTCTTTGTAGAGATTTCACTGGGTGGACTACATACGGAGTAAAATGAATGAATCCACACTTAAAATGCATCTATATACATCCATATCTAGTTCATAGTGGAATCTCTACAAAGACTTATATTTAGGAACGGAGGGAGTATTTCTTACTTCCCTTACCAGCCCTACCTACATCACCTGAACAGTGTAACAGACAAGAACACAGTCACTGAAGACTTCTTGCCGTGGATGAAGACGCTCTGTTACACATTAGCAGATGGTATGAGACTGGGCTGCATGCGGGTTCAGAGTTCAGCTTGACAGTTTCATATATCCTTGGCCCAGTAGAGTGCATACATGTTCATGGAAAGTAAAAGCAGATAAAAATTAAGGTGCTGGCCATCAAGCAAGCTAATTTATACTGTGAACGGTCACAAACTCGACCGGGAACATGCCTCCAAATTTGTGAGCAATACGAAGAAACTGAGAGCCAATGCCATATCTATTCATTATCACAGCAAGATATACAAATCGGAGCAAATGTTAATAACAGCACTCAAAACAAACATAAAAATTCCCTCAAGATCCCTCCCTGAAGGGAATATGTGAGTCTACAGTACAACGGAAACTGGACTGCCCCCAGGCATGATCAACAGCCGCATAGTCCTCCTAGCTGGCGAGATTGCCAGGCAAGCTCTTGAAGATCGCGTGCCACATGTATGCCCCAGAGAGGACCATCTCGGAGCTCGTGGCGCGCGCCCAGTTCCTGGTCGGGAGGTGCTGGAGGAACATAATCATCTCTTGAAAATAAGCTTCTGTAGCTTATCTGACAAGCATTATTGAGGTGCATATGCCACTCTCTTCTCCAGGCTCTTGCTTTATGCAAGAATAAGTTGCACTTTAACAGCGCCAGCAGTCGCTGCAGGTAGTAACTGGAGCAGAAGAATAAACATTAACATGTGCAGAAAAGGCGTGATGGGGTTCCCATGAGGCCATGACTAGCTTGTGCTCTTTCCACCGGAGGACATGAAGCTGCCATAGATAGCCTCACAAGTGACAGAGAAGGTACTATTGTCGACATCGAAGCGGATCCCTCGTCTTGCTCACTCACAAGCACCTACACCAGTATGAGACATTAGTATCTTACCAAGAGTGCATAGATCTGCCTTGTCCAGGGTGAAACTCATGGAGCAACCATTTCACTCCATGAAGCTGAAACCCAGCTCTTTCTTGGCTCCCTTCTCCACCATCATCTGCCGAATGGCTCTTGCATCTTCCCATCGACCATTGACTGCATACAAGTTGAACAGAACAGCATAACGCCCACCATGTTGTGGCTCTAGCTCAATGAGCCGCTTCCCTACACGTTCGCCGACAGTAATATCATTATGCATCCGGCATGACGACATCAGCGCACCCCATTGCGACGCATGTGGCTCCATTGGCATATCCAACAAGACAGTCTCAGCCTCCTCAACATGTCCCGCACGCCCAAGGAGATCAGCTAGGCACCCATAGTGCTCTCTCTGTGGCTCAATCCCGTGGTGCCGCATCGACTGGAAAATCTTCCTCCCTTCCTCCAGACGACCTGAGTGGGTGCACGCGCACAAAGCAGCGACAAACGTCGACTGGTTTGGCACAAAGCCGTTTCCGAGCATCCTTTGGAACAACTCTAGTGCACGCTCACCATGGCCATTCATCGCAAGCCCTCCGATCATCGAATTCCACAGCACAACGTCACGGCAGCGAACAGAGTCGAAAGCACGCCATGCCTCCTCCATGCACCCACACTTGCAGTACATGTCCACCAGGGCGGTCTCGGCCATGACATTCCTTTGCATCCCTGCAAACCCCTCTGTTTCCAGATACCGATGGACCCAGCGACCCCTCTCGACGGCACCGAGATGGGCGCACGCCTTGAGCACGCTCACCAGCACCACCACATCTGGCTTGAAACCCTCCCCCATCATCCGATCAAACACCCGCAGCGCTTCGTCGAACTCTGCGGCACGCACAAGCGCGTCGATCATGGCGCTCCAGGACACCAGGTTCCGCTCGGGCATTCTGCCGAACACCTCCCGCGCCGCTGCCAGGTCGCCGCTCTTGCCGTAGCCGGACACCATGGTGTTCCAGGAGGCGGCGTCCAGAGCGGCGCCCGAGTCGTCGAACACCCTGCGCGCGTGGGGCAGGAGGCCGAGTGCGCAGTAGAGTTTGAGGAGGGAGTTGGTGACGACGGGGTGCGCGAGCGCGCCGCACTTGAGCGCGTGCGCGTGGGCGACGGGCGCGGCCAGGCGGGTGCAGCCGCCGGAGGCGGACGAAGCGAGGGAGGCGAGGAGGAGGGAGAAGGTGTAGGCGGTGGGCGGCGTGGCGGCGCGGATGCGGGAATAGAGGGCGAGCGAGGCGGCCGCGGGGGCGCCGCGGCGCGCGAGCTCGGCGTGGAGCGGGCAGCCGTGGGAGGGCGCTGCGGAGAAGAATGCGACGGCGACGAGTCTGCGGAGGCGGCGGGGCGCGGCAGCGAGCGGCCACCACGCCATTTGGTCTGCGGGCGTCACTGAGGTAGAGCCACCACATGGTGGCCCCATGCATGAGGTGGTGGGCTAGGGTTCGAACCTCACTTACTCTATATCCAGGGTTCAAAATTTCAATGAAATTTTCGAAAATTTCGCTGGTTACCAAAAAATCAAAAAAATTGTAATCCCAAGACTTTGAGCCAGGTTCAAACATATTTAAATTCAACCAAAATTCGTTAAAATTAATTGAATTTTTATATATCCAAATCTGAGATAATTTCTGGAAGTTTGCATACTTCTGTGAGGTCTGGAAATTCTCTGTTTCTGAAATTTAAAACCTTTCTACCTATTAAATCCGGTGTCTGGTTCCTGGGACCCCTTTCATAGTTGCACTCTTTGCAGATTTGGTGTGTGTTTTTGTAGAATCCAACTATTCTTCTCATCAGCAAAGATCGAGATTTGGTGTTTTCGGTAGAATCCAATTACTCTTCTCATCAACAAATATCAGCGAAATGCACGCAACTAATGACCTGTCGAGTGCTCGAGTCCAGCAAAGGGATTATAACGGCGGCCAAACACTGTCATAGAAGTCTTCATATCTTTGTTGCGGATAGACATTCTATAGTGTCTACAACACATTGCACATGGTGTGAGACTAGGCCTGCGTTTGGATGTTCAGACTTGTAACAGTTTCAGAAAGTTTCGTCTATGAACTCTAAATAACTCAAACAACATGTCAAAATGGCCACCAGATTTGAAAAGAATACGGTAATTGCATCAAAAACCAATGAGATATATTCATCATAACCGAGACGGTAGTTTCATAGCCAGATATACAAATCGGAGCAGATATTAATAATACAGCACTCAAAATAAACATGAAACTCCCCCATTGTTCCTCCCCGAAGGGTATATGTGAGTCTACATTACAACGGAAGCTGGACTGCTCCGCCGCCTGCTCCCAGGCATGATCGACAGCCGCATAGTCCTCCTAGTTGGCGAGATGGCTGGGCGAGCTCTTGAACATCGTGTGCCACATGTACGCCCTGGAGAGGACCATCTCGAGCTCGTGGTGCGCCCAGTTCCTGGTCGGCAGGTGCTGGAGGAACATGACCATCTCCTGGAAATCCAGCTTCTGCAGCTTCTCTGACCACTGGGGAAGAAAGAGACCAAGGGAACATCACTCTGAATCCAAATCTTTAGTGGAAATCCGTAAGCTGGATTGCACACAATGAAAGCAGGGAACATGCTAGACAGCCGCAAATCAGTACAGGGCAAGGAGTACTTTCACTTACTGTTAACAAAAAGCTAGCTGATATGTACACGAGAAAATCTGGTAGATAATCTCCTTCAGCAAGATAGGTATCCCACAAGCGTGTCACAAGATGAAAAGGAACCTGCAATGATGCGCGACATTAAGGGACATGAATGTGCAGATCACATATATACAATGCACATTGACTAGACTAACCTCGCGTATCAAAAGACAGTTGAACCAACGGAAGGCAAACTGAAGGAACTCCAATCCTTGTTCCTCTATGTGCTTGGATAAAGGTTCTGTATACATGGAAGATGATCGAGCACAATATCAATATTTCAAGTATTAGTCAAAACTGTTAATCTAGTATCAGCAGATCCCATGGCATGCCAAATTAATGACAAGGTACTTAACACGATGTTTCTCTATAGAATTGTTATTATTACTATTCCTTCAATCCTAATTTCCTATAATTCCTTAAACTTCCTTTATCATGCTATACTTAATTATTTATAGTAGGAAGGGCCATCATATATATCCATCGATGGAACGTTACCATCTATTCGATGAACCAACTCTTTCAATCTGAATACAAGGCGTTGTATTCCTGGTTGTGCAAAGGTGTAATGGTCCTGCATGCCATCAAGAAACTTTGAGAGACACCAATAGCAGTCTGCTTCTATGTTAGAAACGTCCTGCAAAGAAAGGTTTTCCATGGACCAAGTGTCCAGATTGCCTTCTAAGTGCTCTGATAAGAACACAATCAAGAACGGTGTAACAAGGTCGTTTATTCCTTGGACGTATCCACTTGCAGGGTGCCGGATGGCCCTGGAAATGAGGAGGCATCATTGTGTCAAGAAATATTGGAGAAAAGCAAAGCACAATCATTATTTTGGCAGCATCAGAGGTCAGGTTTCATGA